TAAGTATTTGAACACACGAGTCCATGAAATATTTCAAGTCTGTAGAGAATATTTCAAACCACAACAGGATCAGAGGTCTGACAAGGCTTGGGCAACAAGAGTAGGGCAGGAACAGCCACGTCCAAAGAGGCCACATTGCCTCACAGGATGGCTAAATGACTCACCATGTCACTGTGTGCCTCAGGCTCCAGCTGAAATGCCAGAGAAAAGGAGAGTTTCCACCTGGCTTCTAAAGTACAGAGCAGGCTCAGCAAGGTGTCAGCCCAGAGTATCCACAGTGGAGGATCTGGGAAGAAGGTTCCAGGAGGCAGGGCACAGTCAGCCAGATATTGTGGAGACACAGAGAGCTAGACATCACTGGATCCAGGACATCGGGAAGAATAAACAGTGCCGGAGAGCAGCAGAGATCTAGGGCAGTTCTTCCTGGGAATATCCTGTGACCACAGGCAGAGTAAGAGCCTGTATTAAGGTCGGGGTGCTGGCTTCATGTTTCTGTCCTCTGACAGCTATATCCCATTCTGTGCTCCACATTTATCCTGAACCTATTCAGGCAGTGCCACATCCTTCATGGCCCGAGTTCCTGGTCTCTTCGTCTCTGTGGCTGGCAGAGATCCCGACAATCCTCTGCATGTGGGTGCTTGTCACGCTGTCCTCATGGCCTCTAAATTTGCTCACTTGTCCCTGTAGGGCCACCTTAGGCTCCTTCTTACTCAAGTTTCTCCTTCTGCCTAGCTTCAGATGTTGGTTAGAATGAGAACAGCTCTCATAGGCTCATGAGTTTGAATGCTTGGTCCTCAGTTGGTAGCCATTTGAGGAGGATTAGGAGGTATGGCCTTGTTGGAGTAGGTATGACCTTTGGAGGAAGTGTGTGTGTGTGTGTGTGTGTGTGTAGAGGGTGAATGTTGAGGTTTCAAAAGCTTATGCCTGTGTTTCTTCTCTACTGCTGCCTGTAGTTCTCAGCTTCTGCTCCAGCATAGCAGTCTGCCTATCTGTTTCCTTTTGTGATCATAACAGACCAACTCTGTGAAACTATAAGTAAGAAGCAAGCCTCCAATTAAATGTTCCATTATTAAGAGTTGTCTTGGTCAGAGTGTCTCTTCACAGCAATAGAACAGTAATTAAGACACTTCCCTCCCTTCTCTCCTCCCTGCCTCTGGTGGAGCAGACCTTACCCAGCCATGCCTGTGAGCTCACAAGACACCAGCCTCCTTGTCATCACATTCCCCAAGTCCTATTTGTGGGAGGAACAGTATCCACTTTGTTTCCACTGCAGGGCCTTGGGCAGGTCCCCCAGGTACACAAGGCAGAGTTGCCAAGCACCCTTTCCTGGAGTGCTTACCTTCCTGCTTAGCAGGCTGGGCCCTTGAGACTCCCCTGGTGCTTAGGAGAAAGCACATTCATTGTAAGTTCAGGCAAAAGATCAACACGACTCCTTGTATTTCTATTTTTGGTGTGTGTGTGTGTGTGTGTGTGTGTGTGTACATGTGTGTGCTATACACATGCATGTGAAGGTTAGTGATTAACCTTAGGTTACTGCCCACCTTGATTTTTGAGACAGGGTCTCTCTCACTGGGCTGGACCTCACCAAGTAGAATGGGCTGGCTAGCCAGTGAGTCCCAGGAATCTGCCTGTCTTCTCCACCTCTGCAGTACTAATACTACAAGCACTCAGGACAAGTCCTGCTTCTCGTGTGGGTTCCGGGGTTCAACCCAAATCCTTGTGCTTATGTAGCAAGCATTCTAAGAACCAAGCCATCTCCCTAGTCCCCCCCATGTAGTTTCAACTTTCACTTTTTAATATTGTGTGTGAATGTATGGTGTATGGGTGGTCATGGGCATGGCATCCTGTGCATATGGAGGTCAGAGGACAATTTTTGCAGTCATTCCTCTCCTGCCACCTTTATTCAGGTTCCAGGAATTGAACTCAAGTAGCCAGGCTTGAGTGACAAGTATCTTTACCTGTTGAGCTCTGCCCCAGCCCCTCATTTATATGTTTTTACACTTTTATTTATTTTTATGTATAAGGATATTTTGCCCACATGTATACCATGCAAATGCCTAGTGCCTGTAGAGGCCAGAAGAGGGCGTCAGATCCCTAAGAATGAGTCACCAAAATGGCTGTGAGCTGCCATATAGTTGCTAGGAATCAAACCTGGGTCCTCTGGAAGAACAGCAAATGCTCTTAACCACTGCGGCATCTTTCTAACCCCTCTTTGAAGACAATTCTACCGGCATCTTTTTGAACTGCAGACTTCTGTTGTGCTATCTATGGAAACAGGGCCCTTGCAGCCAAGATCTATTTAAAATCTATGGGGTGGAAATGGGGAGACAGAAGGGGAGCATGTAGGATACAGCTTTTCCCAGGCTGGGCATCACCCCTCCTTCCTCATGACTGTAGCTCCAGCAAGAACATCCTGGAACTCATCCCCAGGCAGCCTTCTTCTCTCTCTCTCTCTCTCTCTCTCTCTCTCTCTCTCTCTCTCTCTCCCTCCCTCCCTCCTTCCCACTTCCCCTCTCTGTGTCTCTCTCTGCCTCTCTCTGTCTCTCTGTCTCTCCCTCTCTCTTTTGTACAAGGTCTCACCATATAGCACAGGCTGGACTCCAGCTGGTGGACCTCATGCCTTTACCTCTAGAGGGTTGGTATTACAGGTATATGCCACCACACCCAGCTCCCTTTCAGTTCTTTCCTTTGGTGGGACTTCAGATATATCACCAATAATCTTAAATCATTTCTTTAAAACTATCCTACTTCACCTGTTAACCTGAGTGCCTGCTGCTTGATCCCTTTTGTTTTGACTCTTCCTCAGCTGGGGATCCAGAGGCGTGGTGATTTAGGAGCTAAGTGCACACTCCCTCACTCCCTATATGGAAGAGTATTGGGCCCCCTGACATGGACCCCTGGGTTTCCCTGTCATTTTGGTGTGTTGCTAATGTCTTTTCAGAAAGATGTCTGTCTGCTTTCCACATAATCCACTTTGTGATGGCAGTTTCTTTTTGTCACTGCCTGTGGGGAAGAGATATCCGCTCTCCCATCCAGGAAGCAGAAATCCCTCTTAGAATATACTTAAAGTGTACCTAGAGCTGTTTGTTTACTCATTGTGTCTTACTGTGATTTTCCCTGGGCCCTGGTCAGGCCTTATATTTTAAGACTGGACTTTTGAGTCCGCTGCCCTGGCTGGAGCAGGCCTTGTCAAGGTTTTCCATCTCTCTGTGCCTCTGTTTCCCAATAGGTAAAGTGGGACAGTGACAGCAGACACTATATATTTGTCCATAAGTAGGAGCACCCCTTGACATGAAAGACCTCAACATTTGAGAGTGTCCCTGCCAAGTGATGCCCTTGACTGCCAGTGAGCGTGCATGGGAGTGACTGGGGTTGAGGAAACAGCATTTTGCTGTGGCTTCATGAGGACAGGAACATGGAATTTCTTGTCCTAGAAGCCACACTCGGAGATCAAAGGTGAGCTTAGAGAAGCTGGCTTCAGTAGCCTCCTGCTAACCCATAGCACACCTGCTGGCCTCATCAGTCTCTGGACCATGTTTGCTGGTCCCCAGTGGGCTGTCTGCCAGGCACACCTCAACAAGTGCATAGGAAAGGAAGGCTCCCTGGCCACATCTGTGAGGAGCTGGGTCCTTCTAGCCCAGGCACGGAAGCTCTGCCATACTGGGTCTGTTTGCATCTACTTCTGGGGAGGAGGGTAGCCCACAGCCCATAGCGGGACCCCTCTGCTTACTTCTCCAGAAGCTTTTGGGGCCTTAGCTAGCCACTGTGTCTTTATCTTCCTAGGTCCCAACCTCACCATTGACCACATTCTGTACAGTTGGGGATCATCTGTACCTTCTTCCACAGTCAAGCCGGGACATTATCTGTCCCACATAGAGCTTCCCCCTTGACGGCCTTCCTTCCCGCCACTCCTACCTCTGGAATCCAAGCCATAGAGCTCCACATTTCCAATCCCTGTCCCTTAGGACTCCCTGCCACCCTTATGGAGTGTCCTCTACTCTGGACAGGGGGAGGAGAAGTTAAGGAGCCAATGATAGTCTCTTATGTAGTAAGCCAATCGGTGACAGGTATCTTAATTCTAGTTAACCCAATGAGGCAGAGCAGGACCTGAGACCCCGCACCCCTCCAGCCACAGCCTCTCAGCATCTGAGCAGTGCAGAGCCCCCTTCTTCATGTTTCTGCCCATGGCAGCCACCACACTGATGGGGGCTAGGATGGCTTCCTCAGCCCACAGGCTCCTCTGTCTGTCTAGTCTGTCCTGATGATGCCCCTGGGTTCAGCGACCACTAGGCTAGTGTGTGGTTCCCTGGCTTGCCCCTGCCCATGCTCTCAGTGTCCAGCCAGTGGTGAGTAACTCTCCCATATTTGTTCCTCTTAGCTCCCTTTGCATCCCTCATGTTCCTGTTGATAGCTCCAGCTCTGTTCCTGGAAACTGAGAACCACAAACAGGGAGACAGAGAGGGCAGGAAAAGACACCAGGAGGAGACACAGTGCCAGGGTTTATTACAGCTTAGGGATGGGTGAGCACAGGCCCCTCTCCAACCCCAGATCCCAGGGCCCCTCTAGCAGGCAAGATACCTTGCCTGACACAGCTCCCTGGTAGCTGGTCCTTCTTGGACAGTCCCATCTACCTTTGTGAACTTGAGATGACTGTCAGAGGGCTTTCTTTGAGTTACAGAGGGCACACAGGTTTGCTATGGGGAACCCTATAGCCACAGGCTCTCTCACAGAAGATGAGGCTGAGACAGGGTCCTCCAAGGGCCAGATCCTCACCTGGCCCCCTCCTCAAGTGGATCTTAATTGTCCCGTTACCCTCCGTGATTCTGGTTTCACTGAGTGGCAGGCAGAGGGTGGAGCAGAGGCAGTGGGAGCCACAGAGGGCAGCTGTGGGCCTCATGGAGAATGCCTACCTAAGGTTTTCATGGTCAGTTGTGCAGGTTCTGCTCCAGGTGGAGGGACGTGAGGGGTTGGGGGACACAATTGCCTTCCAGCAGTGGGCTCTAGGGAGTGCTCCTGGGAGTCATGGGCAGGGAGCTGCAGGCCAGGACACAGCTGCACTCATCGATGTGGGAGTAGGTGTGCTGGATGGCTGTACCATCGGGGCACTGCATGGTCACAGCTACGTCATGGACTTTGCTCTCCTGACAGCAGGTGCACTGATGCTCCACGGCCTGGGCCTCCATGGAGTACCTGTGGACACGGGAGGGTGTTCATCTTAGCAAGATAATGATTCATGGTCCTCTCTGGGCTCTTGACAGCCACCTGACTGTCCACCTTGGCTACTTTCTTGAACATAAAATTTTACCCTTCTTGGGCTCTTTTTAAATCCTATTCCATCTTTCATAGCCTCCTGTGATTCTCTTCCCTTTCCATCCGTCCTCTGACCCTGTTCAGAGTTTCCCTCTGGACAGCCTCCCTAAGCCCTGAAGACCGTCCCCCCACCCCTGCCTTTTCTAACCACAAACTGTCAGCCTTCTGGCCACTCCTGTTCACATCTGACCACAGCCCAGGATCACCTGGGGCCCACAGAGGGATCTGATGCTGCTTGAGCCCCTAAATACATTTAGATTTCTGGACACGAGTCCCTCCACCCCCAGCCAAAACCCTATTTTGTGCACCTAAACCAGGTTTGTCCCTGGCTTGGCCGGGAGATGGGCTATATATGCTTTAGTCAGATGGCTGTGTGCGGCCTCCTGATCCTGAGCAGGAGACAGTCTCCATGAGACCCAAGGTGGCAAGGTAGCAACTGGTTTTGCTCTTCTCTCAGGGGAGGCGGGGCACCCACTCACTTGGACATTCCAGAGCAGGAACCCTCGCAGAAGGTGATGTTGACGGTTTTTTCACAGCCTTTATGCCGCAAGATGGTTGTGTTTACATGCACTTGACATGTCCTTGAGTCTACAAAGAAGACAGGCCAGTACAGAAACCCTAGACCCTCCCTCAGAGGCCCCAGACCTGGTAAAGCTGCCTCTCTATGATGGTTAATATTGCCTGTCAACTTGAATCACCTAAGCAACAAAGCTCTGAGAGATTTTCGAGATTAAGTTCATTGTTGAGGGAAGACCCACCCTGAATGTGGCAGAACCTCCCATGGGCTAGGGTCTCAGGCTAAATGAAAAGAAGAAAGTGAACTGAGTACCAGCGTTCATCTCCCTCTGCCTCCTGGCTGCAGACACATCTCACCATCTGCCTCTGCTCCTCTTGCCATGTCTACCCACCATGGTGGGACTGTACACTCAAACCATGAGCCAGATAAATCCTTCCTTCCTTAAATTGATTTTGTATTTGGTCACAGCAATGAGAGAAGTAACTGACAGACCTTTCGTGGGTGACCAAACCCTTTCTATTATCCTGAAACTCTGGTGGGATCTGCCACTCAGTGAGATCAACTTGTATCGCTTTTGGTGGGAACTGGGTGGAGCTGGAGAACTAGATGAGAGATGTCTTCAACTTACCCTCTTTTTCACAGGAGTAACAGCAACCGGTTTTCCTTAGGGTTCCCTGCAGAGCCAAGAATAGAACAGGACTGGGGCAGAGTCAGAATATGGGGTACAAGCCGTAGAGACACAGATTCCTTGGGGAAGATCCTTCCAGGGGCTTGATAAGGGTGGATCACTCAAAGGCAAGGCCTCCCCGGCACATACCCTACAGTTGGATACATCAGGGCAAGGTGCAGGGGTTGGGGTCAGAACATAGATTCCATTCTCAGTCCTACAGTGGTACTCAGTGCAGTTGTCCACCTGACTGTTCACCCAGGTTTCATTGAGCTGAAAAGCAAATCACACGACAGAGGTCCGGGCAGGGATCCAATTGTGGCTGAGGCCTGCTCAAGGGAAGGTTTTCCTATGCCCACGCCTATTACCTGTACTGCCTGACCCCCTGGTGTGAGGCAGGCATCCTGCACACACTGCCCGCAGCACTTCTCTGGCATCAGCTTGTAGTTGAAGCCCTGTGGGGACAGGAGAGGTGGTTGGCTCTCTCGTTCACCCCAGCCACCCTTCTGAGCACACTCTAGGGGTCCTGGGCCTCTCTAACAGGAACTGCAGAGAGGTCATGTCTTGGCTGTGTTGTATACCCTTCCCAGGTCTCACAGCTTAGCTCACTCTGCTTCTGAGCCCCTCTTTGTCTACTGTGGTGGTTCTCAACCTTCATAATGCTGCAGCCTCTTAATACAGTTCCTCTTGTTGTGGTGACCCACAACCGTAAGATCATTTCGTTGCTACTTCATTGTAATTACGTAACTGTAATTTTGCTACTGTTATGAATCATAATGTAAATATCTGATATGCAGGATATCTGATATATGACCCCTGTGAAAGGGTCACTTGACCGTCAGTGGTTGAGAACCACTGGTCTACTGGTACTGTATTAGACCTGTTTCTAGTCAGCTCATCAACCCACAAGTCCTATTTTTCCCTTCGGAAATGAACAAGACCGCAAAATTATGGTAAATTCGAGGACTCTCAACGATGGGGTGCCATGGGTAGCCTCTCGGGGTGTTTGATGGGTCTCAGGCTCACCTTGGGACAGGTGGTGCTACAAAGGATCTCTCTACATTCTACTTTTGGTTCGTGGTTGCTCTCGGAGGAGCAGGTGCATGTCTGGCATGGAGCATTCCCTTGGAAGACTGCACCAACCTAGAGCAGAAGAGAAGAGAGGCACCGAGAGAAGGTGAAGGGTTGGGGCAAGCACATCAGGTCAAGACCTGTCACTGTATCCAGGCAGGGGCCATAGAGCCCAGATCTACCCCCCACCCTCACCAAGATGTGATTGTTCCCCTAGTTGAACACAGCTACCCATGGGGCAGGGACAGCAGTAAGCTGGGAAACCCAGAAGCTGACCACTCAGATGTGGCAGATGTGGTAGCCTCTTTCCACAGCTACACACATGCATACACACACACACACACACACACACACACACACACACACACACTCACACCCTTATGTCTTGTGTTCTAAGGGCCCAGATCCCCTCTTCAGATCTGTCCTTGTGACAATCATGTTGAGACAAGGACCAGGACCTGGGGGACACAGGTTTCCCATCCACCTCAACCTACCTCTGCTGTCCACCCTGCCTGGGCTGAGCCTTACCCCATACATGGTGTCATTGTATGTGCACAGCTTGGGTCCTGAAAGGAAAGGGCATTGGTGTGCATCTGGGCGGTGGGGCAAAACCCCTTGCTCCTCCCAGTCCCTGAACTCCACTGCAGCCAGTCTCAGCGACCCTCCCCCGGTACTTGAGCCCCATTTCTACTCACGACAGCTGGAGTTGGGACAGCAGCTGCCATTCTCATGGGTGTGGATCAGCTCATGGCCTGGCTCACACGTGGGAAGATTATTGGGGCAGGTGCTTACATTGCAGACTGGAGAGAAGGTGGTCCTGTCAGAATACTGCCCATTTGCCCACCCCTTATCTCCTCCCTCCTGGACATACTGGCCTCTGGTGTCATTTTTCCTAGGGACCCAGTACGCTTCCTGGCTTTTCTGGGTTTCATCAAGACCCCTCACTCTTCATTCCCTTAGTCCTCACCAGTCCTCTGCTTTGTTAGACCAGAGGCCACCAGCTTTGTTTTTCAGTGAAAAGCTGAAGTGTTTTGAGAGCATCCCCACCTAAGTGGCCCAATGTAGCTAATCTAGAGTCTGACTCTCCTATGTCCCCAGTAGATGCTCACCACACAGTGTCTCAGGGCAGCAGGGATTGTCTGCACTTGGCCTGGTCACAGTCACAAAGCCAGCTTCTGTGCACTGTGTGAGCCCATCCTGGCTCTCGCACTTCACTGGCTTACACTGTACTGACACAGAGCTGGGCTCGCATACACACGTCTGGCAGTTGCTGATCCAGTGTTCTCCAGGCTGAAACAGGCCAAATTGGGATCTCTAAAGGCCCTGAGGCCCTCAAGATCCTGGTCTGTCTAACTGAACTCAACATTAAGTCATCATTTACCCTGAGCAAGTTAGCCTTCTGCTGCCCAGAGTGACAGCAGGACAGGAGCCCAGGAGCCTTGCCTCAGCCTCCTGAGCTATGAAAAGCCAGCCACCCTTCTTCCCTCCCTCCTTTCTGCTCTTCTTTAGCTCAAGCAGGGGCCAGGGGAACACCACCACTTACAAACTTGGGTAGCCCATCTGGTCCCACGCAGGCTGGAAAGAAATGAGTGAAGTTGTTACTGAAGATGTTGGGGCTCAAGGCCAAGCAGAAGGGGGTCATTGGCTGAGAGAACTGTGCTCTTGGCCCTGTCCACATGCACCCCCAGCCAAGACCTCTATCTTCTTCTAGGACGGAGCAGAAGGTCCTAGGGAATTCTGAGACAGTGCTTGAGGTTGGCTGTTGAGAGGCTAGCTCTTCATGCAGTAAGGGGAGGCAGCTTCTCTGACCAGGCCCAAGCAGTAGAGTTTAGACTTAATGGTGGCAGGCTGTCAGGAGGCCTTTCAACATCTGCAGGACTCGTGGCCTCACTAGGATCCTCTCTCATGCTCTCTCAGGCAGAACAGGGTCTGCAGATGTGTTAGATCCTGGTCTGGCAGGTGAGGATGGACCTGTGGGGGACAGGGGTGGGGCAGGGCTTGTCCCGTGGTAGGTGGATGGCACTTACGGCACTCTGGTACACAGATGTCCATGCGTGAGTTGAAGAGGAGCTGATTCTCAGGGCAGAAGCAGCCTTCCGCCAGCATCTCAGTTGAAATGTTCAGGGTCCTAGTGTGAGGAGGAGCAGCAGAGCGTAGGGTCAGAAATCAGGTGGTACCTCCAAGAATCAGTTGTGGGTGTCACAGGGGGTCCTGAGTTAGGGGTACCCACAGTCTCAGCTCGGGCCCTTCAGACTTGCCTGGGAGGCCAGCTGCTACTTAATATGCTCACTGGCATGCAGATGGCACTCACCTGGAGCTGCAGGATACTGGATGCAGAGGTCCACAAGGCCTGTACTCCTTAGTGGATGGACAGGAGAGGTCTATGGGCACACAGAATGTCATCAGACAGGTTTGCAGGTTCGGAGGAACCAAGGAGGCCGAAGCCCTGACTAAGCTGGATGCTCCCAACTTACCACACAGCCCTCCAGTGGCATTGCGCCAGTCAGTGCATACGCCCTGGGTCCGGCAGAGTGCTGCATAGGCCTCCAGGCTCTGACAGAGTGTGCCAGTGGAGTTGTCATTGCAGTGGTCACTGATACAAGCTCTGAAGAAGGTGTCTGGAGGGATGAGTCTGTGGCACTCGGCAAAAACCCTATAACAGTAAGTGGAAAGGGCTGAGATCTCAGAGCCCAGCAAGTAGGCTAGCCAAGGGGAATGCTGCCCAGGCCCATCACCCCAAAGGGCAACTTACTGGCTCAGCATCAGCTCACAGAGTGGTACAGAGGGGCATGGAGTGGAGGTGGCTGTGCTGGACACTAGGGACTGGGGAGTGGTGCTTGGGGAAGGGCTAGGCTGAGCTAAGCAGTCATTGTTGCTTTTCCCAGGCACCAGCCAGTCTTTGGCCATGTCCTGGCAGTTAGAAGCTATGGTGCCGTCAGGCCGGCGGCAGTCGTCTGGCTGGCTGTTTGTGCAGGTACCTGGTGAGTAGGGTGGGGATTATAATCGTCTTCTCACTGTTTTCCATAGACCAGTTACCTCCACCCCATCTATAGAAGCAGAATGAGCCAGGTCATGCCCACTCACCACACTGGCCCTCAGTATTGTTGCTGAAGTATCTGTAGGGCAACCATATCTGGAAGATGTGCCCATCAAAGGTGATGGTGGCGCCAATGGTGGAAATGTTGACACTCATCGTGGTGGCCCCACTCAAGGACACAGTCACACCATTCTTACTGAAGCCTGAACTTATCCACATTTGGTCCCAGATAATCTGGGGATGTCCAGAGGAGAACAATAATCAGGAGGCCAGCTAGGCAGCAGGGCATGTGCTTTGGGAGTTCTGCCTCCCAAACACCAGGGCCACTCCCTGTGTTCTCAATCTAGAGAGAGTTTATTCTTTGCCTAGGCTGGCTCCTGCAGGCCATTTCTGCAGAGGCGAGAATGTTCTTGGTCCTCGGGGCTTTTCCCCCCTTTGCCTGTGTCACACCACACACAGGCCTCGTGTTTGCAGTGTGGTGTGGGGGCTCTGCCTATCCCAAGACTCACCAGGCCCTCCTCCTTCCCACTGACAGTGGTGGTGATGGTGAGGACAATCTCCATGGAGTTGTAGTACACACTGAGGGCACGGGGACAGAAGGTGACGTTGCTGGTAACCCCACAGTAGTAGCTATGAGCAAGAATGCTCAGGTTGCCATGGCGAGGGTGGATCTCCTTCATGAGCACCGAGGTACAGTTGTCCAGGAAAGTATAGGAGGTGCCATCGAATGTCAGGTAGTGTGAGTTCCCCCATCCACTGCAGAAGCCTACAGGAGACTACAGTTGTAAGCTCACTTCCCAGCCCTGTTACCCAGCACCACCTCTCAAACTGTTACCGCGGGGGAACACAGTTGCTTCGTTTATAAAATAGGTTGTCTCCCAATACATATCTACTGTGAATGTCACCACTGGTCTTAAAATGGGACCATTCCAAAGTACCTGGGTGTCCCTTGAACCTAATGATGGTGTACTTATAACTGATAGGAGAGATAGACATGGAGCAGAAGACCATAAGAAGATGAAGGCAGAGTGGAGTAATGAAGCCACAAGCCAAGGACTCCTGTAGCCCTTAGCTGGAAAAGGCAGAAAGGATCCTCCTCAGCCTCCATAGGGAGTGTGGCCTTGCCTGCTTTGATCTGACCTAGCTTGGGGACCCTAATAGTTTGCTATTCTAAGTCCCAAGTTTGAGTCATTTAACACTCAGTAATGGAAGTTGTCATCAGGACCACTGGAAAGAACTCATATCATGGCTTTTTGCACCCTACCCCTCCCTGGTCATAGTCCATGTCCGTGCTACACCCATGTTCCTAGACTCCCTGTGCACCCAATGCCTGCAGGCAAGCACAGCATTTACATGTGCCTTCTGAGACTGACAGACACTGATAGCAAATGCCTTGGTCCTGTCCCATCTTGCTGAGCTGTCCCGTGCCTGCCCTCTGCTCACATTCACACTCATAGTGGAAGTGGCAAGGCTCCTGGTCCCACACTTTGATGGGCAAGTGCTTGTTGACACAGGTGACATTATCCACAGGCTCGGGCTCTAGGAGGATGATTTGGTTGTTGCCCTGGCACACGGCCACTGTGCAGTTCTCCAGGGTCCAAGACTCATTCACCTGAGGCAGAAGATATGGAGGGTGGTCACCTGGAGGTCATGTGGAGACCCCAAGCCCTGTCCTGCCTGGAGCCCCAGGTCCCTACAGCTTTGAATCCCAGAAGGCAGCCGGTGTGCCTGCTGATCAGGACCCCAGAGCCCAGGGACCTCTCTCAGCAGGAGCTACTGGAAGACAGGTCACTGAGACAGACCACAGGGCTGGGATGGTGCTGACCATTAGCCGTGGCACAATCCAAATGTGCCTGACAACCCAAACCCACACCACATCAGAGAAACGTTGAGGGACAAGGAAGCCCACCTTCCGGGGAGGGATGGCATCATCACAGCCAGGAGGCAGGGGAGACGAAGGCGAAGGGGTAGAGGGCACTGGAGGTGAAGAGGAGGGGCAGGTACCCTGGAAGCGGTCAGCATCACAGTCCTGGTTGCAGATGGCATAGAATTGGCAGCCAGCCCCATCAGTCTTATTGTAGATGACATCCCCTGTGAAGGAGAAGGTCACAGGAAGATATACCCCAGCTGAAGAGGCAGGCTAGGGCCAGGGGAGACATAGGGCACGAGGGGTAGCCTGAGGGAGAGAGGCATGGACTGAACTTTGCATGCATGAGAGGTCTCATAGCTCCCAAAGCTGACAGACTCAGGTTCACAGGGGATATGAGGTGAGGAGAACATCGACTTGTCTACTCACCAGGTGAGAACAGCTGTCCAAATGCCTGGCAGAAACAGGGGGACGGGGAAGATGCTTGGCTGGAAAAGACAGTAGGCCTGAGGGTACTGAGGCTTGAGGGCAACTCAGTAGACACACTGAAGGTCACCTGGCTGCCGGGGGAAACTTCAGAGGTGTGAGTGGTCCCTGAGGTAGAGGAGGGGACCACAGTGGGGACAGTGGCTGCAGGCGAAGTCTCGGTGGTCAAAACTGGAGAGGTGTGAGTAGACACCGGGGAGGAGGAGGGGAGCGTGATGGAGCTAGTGACCACAGGTAAAGAAGTCATGGTAGTCAAAACTGTGGTGGTGCGATTAGACAACAGGTGAGAGGTGGAAGGAGTGGCAGCCATGGAGGTGGTGGCCAGAGGTGACGTGGTGCAGTGGCTGTAGTTGTCACAGCAGAGGAAGCGCACGTGGTAGTTGTCACAGTACTGCAAAGGCCCCGATTGGTTGATATTTTTGCATATCAGCCCGAATCGCACGTCACACAGGACCACCTGCTCTAGGGTTTCCAGGGGTCGGTCTGGCTCCTTCTCGGAGCGGCACTGGATGTCCTTGGGCTGCTCACAGAAGACAAAGCCAACCTCACGTAACACTGCGTAGACCTCGAAATCTCCGCCCCTGGGGCCAGGGTTAGGGAAGTCTGCGTCGAACCAGTCTGTCCACGTGCACCGAGGCGCACAGCCCGAGTGACGAGATGTGGTCCATGTGAATGCTTGGGTGCTTAGCGCTGTAGTGCTGAAGGGGCGGTTGGTCTGAAAGGTGGTCTCAGGGCTTAAGGACACTGAGGCTGTGGAAGGGATCAGGGGAGTGTTGGTAGACCAGGGCAGGGCTGATTTGATGGTGCTGGGAGAGGTGCTAGGACAGTGGCTGTAGTCATTACAGCAAAGCACACGGATACGGTAGTTGGGGCACGTACTAAGGGGCCCCTCCTGGTCCAGGTTCCTGCACACCAGGCCAAATTCCAGACTGCAGTTGACCACTTGCAGAGGCACGTTGGGCTGATCCACAGTGACACATTCTATGTCCAGGGGCTTTTCACATATGGCAACTCCAGCTGCTCTAATATTGGCATAGGTCTCAAACTCGCCCCCAGAGCTCCCAGGTATGGGGAAACTCTGGTCTAGCCAGTCTGTCCAGATACACCGAGGCTTGCAGCCGGTGGAAGTAGAAGACAGAGTGGGGACGTCTGTGGTTCTGGTCCTCCACAGAGATGAGGTCTGAGATTCCTTGGGAGGACTTGTGGGCATGGAAGCAGCTGGAGTGCTGGTGAGGGTTGTGGAAGTAGCCCAAGAAATGTTTGTGGTAGCGCTAGAGAGTCTTGGGGTAGTGGCCGTTCCTGGCGCCGGGGTCGGCCCAGTGGTGGTGGGGCCCTGGCAGTGGCTGGTACTG